TAAGATGGCTGTGGATATATATAATGAGCTCACTCTCCCGCATTTGTATGAAAACAAGGATAATTTTGACGAGATCGGTACTTATGAAGCCTGATGTTTGCATTGTATGTGTGTATTCGAACTTGATTAGGATGATGTTTAGGATGCTTGTTGTATGTTGTGTTGTTGTACATTAAACTTTCAATTAATTCTTAAAATTAAGTCGTCTTATAATCTTTTGGTTGTGCAATTTGACAAAACACTAGACGACTTAATTAAAGATCGTCTGAACGACTAAACACTTAATTAAAGGTCGTCTGAATGACTAAACAACGCTAGACGACTTAAATTTAAGTCGTCCAGAGGACTAGGTAACCATGGACGACTTAACAACATTAAACGACTTAATTATAGGTCGTCTGAACGACTAAACAACACTAGGCGACTTAATTATAGGTCGTCTAGGCGACTAATCAACACTAGACGACTTAACTTTAAGTCGTCCAGAGGACTAGGTAACCATGGACGACTTAACAACACTAGACGACTTAATTATAGGTCGTCTGAACGACTAAACAACACTAAACGACTTAATTATAGGTCGTCTGGACGACTAATCAACACTAGACGACTTAATTATAGGTCGTCTGAACGACTAATCAACCGGTTTCTTACATTGTGGTTTCGTATGGCCAGTTTCCTTGCAGTTTGAGCATCTATAAACCCTGTTTTGCTTCCGGGGTTTGCGTCCTTTCATCCTAGATAGCTCCAACCAAGATTGCCATCTTGATTTCTTCTGTCTCCTCGGACCACGCTTTACCTCTGGAGGGAAGCATGTGCGTTCTTCAACTTGTTGTCCAGCACAAGGAAATATATTCTCTGAGTATCCTCCAAACAAATACTCCTTTGAGTACACTGGATGTACAAGTGTGGATATATGCAAACCAGCAAATGTACCAGCAGCTATAGCATGAGAACAAGGTATTTTATCCACTTAGTAGACACCACAATCACACTTTCCATGTTCCAAATCAACCACACAGTCCATTTTGCCACCTTTCACAAAGAATCGCCATCCATCAATTGGTTGGGCCCTCATCGTATCTGCTATCTCCTCTCGAACAGCAAGCAAGTATTCAACACCCCGACTATGTTGAGTTGGGAGACTCAAAGCATCTTCTCTCCTTTTCCAATACNCATGTTCCAAATCAACCACACAGTCCATTTTGCCACCTTTCACAAAGAATCGCCATCCATCAATTGGTTGGGCCCTCATCGTATCTGCTATCTCCTCTCGAACAGCAAGCAAGTATTCAACACCCCGACTATGTTGAGTTGGGAGACTCAAAGCATCTTCTCTCCTTTTCCAATACCACTTTCCTAGCTTCTCCCTTATAAACTCCAGCAGAAACTTAATAGGAAATCCTCTAGCTCGCTTCAGTGCAGAATTAATAGATTCAGCGATGTTGCTTGTTTTTATGTTGTACTTGTCCCCCTGACAATAACCCCTTGTCCATAGGCTGACGTCGGCATTCACCAAATACGTTGCAAGGTCCAGGTTTGCACTATTTATCTCAGCCATGTACCGGTTAAAATCTGAAACCGTATGAGCATAAGCAGCACCTTTCACCAAGTACAAGAGATGTTTCCCTTTATACTTCTTGACAATGTTATCTTGAAGGTGATAATAACATATTCCTCTCACTGCCCAATGAAACACCTTATCACACACACTTTTAATGGCCGTATGCCGGTCAGAGACTATCACCAGAGGCTGGTCATCATATATACAAGTAGCCAATTTTGTGAAAAACTGTCCCAAGAAGGGTAGTCTTCAGCATCTACGATCCCAAAACAATGGAAATATCTGAAAATTCCCATCTTGTGCGGCTGCAACCAACATAGTACCCTCATACTTCTCACTTAGGTGAGTCCAATCCACCACAATGACCCTTCGCTGATACTTAAAACCTTTGATAGAAGCTCCAAAAGACAAAAATAGATACTTAAATCTATTCATAGAATCAAGTTCTATAGCCGTGACTGAATCGGGATTTGCTAAGGAGATTTGCTCGAGATATGATGGCAGATGCGAATACCCATATTCTGCTGTTCCTCTCACCAATGTTTGTGCATATAACAGTGCCATGTATGAAGTGGTGTAATCAAGCTCCATGCCAAACATGTTCTTCATTGCATCTTTGATATGCTGTGGAGTCAACCCATCAACGATTCCAACACGATCAATGAAAAGTCTACCAACATACTTCGGAGTAGAGTGTCTCCGCTGAGCGATTCGGTCTCCCACTGAGCATGTATGTGTTTCCACATATTTTGTTACCCAAAACGTGTTTGTACCATGTTTCACACTCGCTCTTATCCTCCATCCACAACCACTAACCCGACATGTTGACACAAGGAGATTTTTCGTTGACTTGTATATTCTGAAGGAGAACTTACGCCTCACTGCTGTCAACTGCAGCTCTGAAAGCAGTGCATCCTTGCTAACAAAACTCTTGTTGACATATATACCGTTACCATTCGATCGTCCTCCTTCAATAGCATATGTATCTTTGAAATCTTCAAAAACCACATCACCATCTTCTTCCTCATCCTCATCTCTAACCTTTCCATAAACACTATAATCCTCACCATTCTCGTCCGCTTCAGCAACATT